ACCTTCCTCCGATGCCATGACGGGACCCTCGCTGTCTCGGTCCCTCTCCCTCTCATTGTCTCTCGGCTCCTCCTCCACCGTGCCCCCCTCCTGCTCGGGGCGCTCGGGGGGCGGCTCGCAGCTGACCACCGTGACCTGGGTGCACTTGCCGTACAGGTCCACCACCGCCCAGAGGCGGGGGGGCAAGCCGGAGGCGGCCACGCCGCAGTCCTGCCCGTTCACCCAGAGGTGCAGGTCCCCCTGGGCGCTGCGCTGGATGCCCACACGGTCGCCCTCGCCCAGCTGGTCCAGGTCGCGGCCGTACTCCTCCAGGATGGAGCGCCCGTCCCGCAGCACCGAGCAGCCCGACACGATCCAGGAGCCGCCCTTCAGGCCCGTGGCGCTGCTGGGGAAGTCCAGAGCCGCCGGGTCCAGGGCCGTCACGCCGATCTCGATCGAGCCGCTCCACGAGTTCACCTGCAGCGGCGGGGGCAGAGGGAGAGGGCACGCAGGTGAGGCAGCGGCACGTAGGTCCCGCGGGCAATCGGAAGGGCAACCTAAGCGAGATCGGATTCTCCTGCAAAGATCCGCAGGGAGAGAGGCAGGGTGCCAACGACGGTGGACAGAGGAGACCTTCATGACGAAAGGCAGGATGCAGACGATGGCGGACGGCGGAGACCTTTCTTACAGGAGGCCGGAGCTGCTCTGCACAAGAGCGTCTGGCTCATCTGGATGCACACTGGCTCCCTGATAAAGCCAGCCTGGTACGTGCCGGACATTTTCTCATCTTCCCCCCCCCAAACCATATCATTTTCTCAGCTGTTTATTATGCCTGACCTTCACAGTCCGTGTCAAAAAAAGTGGCTAGAAGTGAAGACTCAGGAAAACAGTTTGGGAATGACAGTAAGAACTTGGAAAAAATAACAGTAAATCCTCGGTACTTTTTCAGATCCCATCAAACTGCCTGTGAATGCTCTTGATTCTAGGGATTATAAGGTCAGGAATCTGGCCCATGGAGCCTTCCGTTACTTAGAGCAGCTGTGCAGCTTTCAAAACTAAGTTATGTTATTTAAACCAAAACAAAATGTGGGTGGACAATGTATCAGGGCTCTGTGGCTAAGGATCTGCGCCTGTGGCTGGAAGGTTGCTGGTTTAAATCACGCAGACGGCACCTGAGCAAGCCCCTTAACCCCAGCTGCTCCAGGGACGCTGTACAATGGCTGACCCTGCGCTCTGACCCCCAGCTTCTCTCCCTGTCTGTGTGTCTCATGGAGAGCAAGCTGGGGTCTGCGAAAAGACAAATTCCTAATGCAAGAAATTGTATAGGGTTAATAAAGTGATGTGATGTCAAATTTGTCAAAACGGTAGCCACACGTCCGTACAATGAGCTTGCAGGTAAAAGCCAGCTCATTTTAGTAATGATTAGTAACACTTATATAGCGCTTTTCTGGACACTGCACACAAAATGATTTACAGGTAAGGGGGAATCCCACCATCACCACCAATGTGTAGCACCAACTGTACAACGTGACAGCGGCCGGAGCGCACCAGTATACTCACCACACACTAGCTACAGGAGAGGAGGAGAACAGAGCGATGAAGCCAGTTCATAGGGATTATGGCGAGGCCATGACTGGTAAAGGCCAGGGGGACATTTACCCAGGACAACCCCAGTTAACACCCTTACGCTTTTCAAGAAAAGATGTTTAAGGACCACAGAGAGTCAGGACCTCGGTTTTACATCTCATCCGATGGCTGGCCCCTTGTTTTTTTGTACAGTATAGTGGCCCATAACTATACTGGAGCATAAGGACACAAACAGACTGGAGGGTGAGCGCACCCTACCAGTCCCACTAGCACCTCCTCTTCCAGCAGCAACCTTAGCTTTCCCAGGAGGTCTCCCATCCAGGTACTGGCCAGGCTCACACCCGCTGAGCTTCAGTGGGCTGCCAGCTGTGAGCTGCAAGGCGATACAGCCCCTGGCTATATAGCTATCTTACGGCAAATTATTCTCGAACCCTTTAGAAATAGTGCATAGAATCCTTATAATATCCTAACATCACCCAGCTCTTTCTAATGCTATAGACGTGGACTTTGAGAGCCGTTACATTCATTATAACATTTGTAAGTGGACTGCATTAAAATATCTGGGTTTCCAAACGAGGGAATGTGGCACTGAAGGAAGAGGTCTGCATAGTTTTGTCTGCTCTTTGGATTTCTGTGGTGAGATTCTGTGTATCTGAAATTTCGGAAATGCCGGATTTGGAAATTGGAAATCTGAATTTCCCCTCCGATCGTTGCCAGGAATCTCCTGATAAGAGCACGGACGGCATGACAAACCAGCCAACCCAAGACCACCCCAAGCCCTGACAGCGTCCGGTCAACTCCGTACCCTCACTTGAAAGAGTCCAGGTCATGGCTGGTCAAGGCTAGCAGCCCAGGATCGACCCTGTCGGGCTCGAATGAGACTTACAGGCTTGATCGCCTGCCAATAATGACCCCATAATGAGTCTTCTAACTCGCTAATTAATAGATTAATAGCCCACATCTGGCTGTCTTTAAAGAGAAGGCTGAAACACGGTGAACAAGGCCATCGCTGGTATCCCCAGAGCACGTCTGCCAGGCAAGAAAAGGCACAGAGCCTCGCTGAATCTCTGCCGAATCACAACCGGTTTCAGGCCAGACAAACCTGCCCTGCTCAGCTCCACGTGATCCGAACATCTACAGCAATGCCAGAGGTCAGAGGTCAGAGGTCAGAGGTTGGGAGCCGCAGACTGAAAGCTGTGCCAGGGCTTCCCAGCGGTTTCCCCAAATGTCCTGAGCGAGCAAATACCCCCGCTAGACAATGCGTCTGTAGCTCCTGATTCACAAATGCGTAGCGCCAACGATCAAGTCATAAAGCATCACTGGGTGCAGACAACAGTCTCGTCAACACACTTTACATTGTGCTGTTAACACAGCACTTGCCCTGCATGTAATACTCTAATGCACAATGTATATAGGTTTACACACTGCATTCATACACATGCAATGTACAGTGCACAAGGAGAGGTGCAGTTATTTAAAGGGCAAAGCACTTCATACTCCATTTAATATTGCATGTTAAGAAACAATGGAAATGTCCAGTAACAACCATTGCATTAGGGTTCAGAATAAATGTACCACAGTACTACTTCTGTGATCATGCAGACTGGACTTTGGAGTCCCGGAACAGAATTCTCCTCCTCTGTTGCATGAATCCTTACAGAAAAAATCAGTTTGTTGTCCCATGTTTCCAAAAAAGCTTATCCGGTGCTTTTCCAGTGTGCTTTTCCACTTTCCCCAGTGGACAGCGATGTACCCATCTGTATGAATTTCCAAGGCCATACTCATGCCTAGAGGCCCCTCCAGCCAGAGACAAACTGGACTTCCGGGACGCCCACAGCTTTCCAGTTTGTGGGACTCTTAACGGGCTTTTCCATCCTCTCCCAACTTGCTGTGCCGGAGGAAAGTCCGTTTCCGATCAGGAATACATAATTAATGATGGACAGGCAGGAACTGACCTTGGGAGAGGATGAAATATTTATGTCGAGCTGCACAGAAATGCCAGCGATTCCGCGGATCCATTTCTCAGCACGGCAAAAGACTCGTTTGACGAGCTCGAGAACAACTGGACAGCGCAATGGCCAACGAAGGGCCGCCAGATTTTTAATGCCTGGGAAAATAACGCGAGGGAATTCCGCTCTGCCGCCCGACCTGAAAATGACGGTTTCAGGTTTGGACAAGGCGATGCACACCCCTCTAAAACCGACTCACATAGGCTTCGGACAGTCCAACAGAGTCCCGCAGCCCATGTGACGAAAATAAAACCAAGTCACACACACGAACGGAGTTCGGGGGCGGGAGGTGTTGTCGCCTGCTCTAGGCAACGCCAAGTCGCCACCTGCGCCGAACACCGCAGCCCGGAGCGGTGGGCGCACACACACACATCGCCCTGACCTCCAGCGCGGCTCAGGCCATGGGAGAAACCGACAGGACTGGCACCCAGGCAGCCCCCCCCCTCCCACCATGACCACCACTGACCCGTCGCGTCCAGAGCGGATACGCGCTCTTCAAAAATGAAGATTGCTCATGCAGACCAGCGGACACACCAGGCATGTATTTCACCAGGCAAGATGCACCACCTGTTTCATTTCATCCCGTGCCTTAGATTTCATCTCCGCGCCACCCCACCCCAAACACACAACACGATTCCGTATCACTGGATGCGGCACTGCAGAATTATTACCGTGTGCTAACAACATCCACCCTGCAGATACGTGCAATGCTAACACCGTTTCAAACAGTAGCCCCGAACCCCGACACCTGTGCTGCTGTCTTGTTTTCCGAACCCACTGGCCCAGGTGGATCCCCGCGGAGCGACTCCCCTCTCATCCATCTCCGCCTAGCTGAGCTCCGAACCCTATCCCTGCCTCTCGCCCGTCTTTGCTCTCGTATTTACCTTTTTATCGATGCGGACAGTGAAGACATCCCGGTCTCGCAGCGGCTCACGGCTCAGTACAAGACCGTGGTTAAATTCCTGTACCGGCTGATTACGCTGGGCGGTTCGGTTCGAGTTCGACAGGCCGATCAGCTTTCCGCTGCGCGGATGCAGCTCCGCCATCTTCGCAGGGGCGGCCCGTTCGCGACGCCTCTTTACGACACCGAAACCAAGCGCGGCTCGCAACCCGCTTCGATTAGATGGGAAGACAGTTACGACAGTATCTCTCGTTTGACGGCAGAAGGTCAAAATGGAATTCTGTCACTTCACTTTACAGCAGAGTGTCAAAAAAA